ATTAACGAGCCGAACATGAGCTTCTTAACGAGCCGAACACGAGTTGTTCACGAACAACGAGCCGTTTTGACAGCCCTATATGTAAATGGACCTTTTTTTATTTGGTGTTAGATATATAAATAAATAGGAATTGAATGGTGTGTATGTAAATGGACCCTTTTTTTTTAATTTTGTTTATATGCTTTAAATAAAATAACAGAGTTGTGAATTGTGCTTGGTTATATACTTTTAGGCTTTAATCCTCATTAAGTATTTAATGAAAATTTGCCATAATAACTGGTCTAAATTTATTTCTAGCTCTCCTCCTCTTTATACCTATTTCTCTTGCAAGCGCAAATAGCTAACTTTCTCCTCATCCCATTCCACCAAAATGAAACCTCCCCACCTTTCCCCATCCCCGCCGGGGATCTCGCCTGAATCTTCTCGCCGGCAGCCTCCGGCGAATCGGCGGAGCCATTCTGCGCAGGTCCAGAAACCAAAAACACAACCTGCTCCGACTCCATTGATGGGAAACAAAAAAACTGCAAGCTTTGCAATCACCTGCTCATCTTTTCAGATCTTCTGCTGAAAAAGAGAGAAGCTCAAGATTGAAGCGTTCACTACAGGGGAATTGAGGTTTCACGGTCCGATCTCTCTCTGTTTCTCTCTGTTCTCTCTCTTAATCTGTACACCTCTCTGTTTCTCTATCTTTCTAACCTAACTTGTCCGTGTAAAAGATGCATTCTTTGAATTAAAGCCGAGAATGCTGCTCTTACACAGATCATGGAACCGAATTTATCTGAAAAAGTTTGTAGAATTTTATATAGAAAGTTGTTTCTCTGCTTACCTTTTGTTCGAGTGACAGAGAGATTAGATGAATAAGGTGCAGTTTGCTTTAAAGTGCCGCAGGGAATATTCAGGATTCTGTTTGTTTTCTAATCTTATGCCATTAATGAATGAATGCTTCATGAGCTGCAGCTTTCTGCACAGTGGAAATAATGGCGGTGCTGTAGAGTTAGAGTGGGGAGTGACTAAGCGGCGATATTGAAATAGGGATTAGGATAAGTATGGAGAAGGTTGGACCGGTCTTGGCTTGCATTAATGGCTGGTGTGTGGTGGCCATTAATGATGGTTGAAGCTGTGGAAGACGACAAGCGTGCTTTTGAATGGAGGAGATGATTGGTTTATTCCCTATGATAATGCTGATGATGGTATCTCTGTTTTAATATGACCAAATCATTTTATATGGATGATATATATATATATATATATAGATATGTAGATAGAAAGACATTATAATTTTTAGATAATTGAAAGTCAGGAGAAAATATTATGTTTGCCGTCAGGATGAATGGACGAAAGTGTGAATCACACCATCTTATATCTACACATCAGACATGGTAACATCCACACTATTGATCAAGATGTTGAACATATTCATGCATCCATATATGATATATTGGGTAAATTGTTTAGAATAAAGGAATAGGTAGTATAAACTATATTATTTTTAATTCATAACTTTTAGAGAATTTTGTGATGATAAAATCATTTTATTTTTAAATTTGATGGAAATTTTAATATCAAATTACTTACTAGGAAAATAAATATTTTTTGTTTTATTAAGTTTTGACTGTATTTAATATTTATATAAATTGCTTGATGCCAAAATTTTATCATTTAACATAGTAGAAAATTGAAGAATAGTAACAAAATTTGCGACTTACACATATGTTGGAACTGAATAAAAATTAGTTTAGTTGTTTCATCCGGAAAAGTTCTTATGCTGATGCTAGATAGCAATTTTAGCAACGCATTATCTCTAGAAAAAAAAAAATTTGTTGAGGGTCTTAAAAATAAGTGACTTTTGTGATGTTTTCGATGTTATTAAAAATAATTATATATAGATATATATATCTAGACACACACACACATAGCGAGAGCTTATAATTCATTCTCAAAGAATATAAAATTTTTAAGAAGATATGCCACTCCTAAGCATTGGAGGTTGCCTCATGAGCCCTTCTACATAGGTCTAAATGTTTATCATATTATAATATCGAAGTTAATAACCTAAGGGGCTCTTTGGTAGGATTAAGGGTCTGTTTGGGGTAGTTGTAACTTATCCAGATAAGCTGCTAGCTAATTCAGATAAGCTGTCTGACTTTTGAGTTTGTGTGTTTGAAAAACAGCTGATTCTGGATAAATGGTCATTCTGCCCCTGTTTTAAATAAGTTATTCATCAAGGAGCATTGCACGGTCAAAATAAATATATACACCGATAAAAGAATGATGTCTTTCTTGATAAATAGACAAGAGAACAAAAGAAAAAAACATGTTTTTCAAACAAATAAAAAACCTCATAATAGAGTTCTGATTTAATTGCTTTTTTTCATCCTCATGCTAATACTAGAAGGAGAATAAGAACTTCAGTAAAAAAGAACTCCACAGAGCCCCAATAGAATTCTTAGCATTTGATAAATTAAAACCAAAAAACAAAAGGAAATATCACCACAGCAAATCTGTTCAATTATTCAACAAACAAAGATGCATCCCAAACAAACCAGTAGCAGGCAACAGTGGCTGCTCAAGTGAGGGAATTGATGCTGCAGTTTGGATGGTCGCGTTGAGAACCACTTGGTTCAGCTGATTCATAATCAGAAGAGAATTTAAAAACGAAATCACCTGAAATGAACAAAGTGTGAGATGTCTAGGGTTATTTCACTATCTAGTTCCGATCCTTCGTGAAGAGAGAAAGACGAGATGGAGGACCTGACATGATTTAGAAATTTTGCAAAGGTGAGCGCGGCGGCGGGGTTGTTTCCACCTTCAGAACCGGTGCCGGCGGCCCAAAAGAAAGGATTGGCGTCGAGAAGGACAATAACGAGGCTGACATCGTCTGCGAAAACGGGATTTGAAGAAATGGGGCACAGAAAACAAAATCCGTAGAAGAAAGAGAGCTATTTGCGGGGCGAGATGAAATGTGCTCACCTAAGTGAAGCTTTGGAGAAGTGGAGACCGGGCGGGAGAAGTTGCAGAAGGATTGGAGAAGTGGAGATTGTTCTTGTGGCTACATCTACGAGAGGGTGGAGGGATCCGTCCGGGAGGAAGGCGAAGGGCAGAGAGAGCGACGGCGTGAATGTCTTTCCCTCGACGGAATGCAGATCGCGGGCCTAGGAATGACGTTTTTAAGAAGGCCTTTTCAAAACTCCACGTTGTGAATAAGCTCCCAAACGCACCCTTAGTTTCAATAGAAATTAGTAAATCTTGTAAATTCAAATTTACTAAATCTTGAAGGGATTAAGTTTTAAAAACTATTTTGTATGTTAATAAGTATCTCCTAATAAATTCGAAAAAAAAATATTTGACAATTTTAATAGGATTTAATAAATCTCTCACTTTTCCCACACTTTAGCTTTTCTAAATCCGGCATTCTACGAGATTCAATAAATCCCAAATTTAAGGCAAAATAGAAGCAAAACTAAATTTAAGAGCCTCCTGGATTTACGTCACAGTTTTTTGCAGTTTGGCAACATTTAGCTTTAATCCTGCTTAAAAGTGGCTACCGAAAAACCCCTAAAACTTGCAAGATTCATTGTGATATTGGATAAAAGTTTTAAGGAATTGCTCCCTTTCCCTCTAATAGGAGAGTAGGCATTCATAAAATCTTTGAGATTGTATGAGATCCCTATATTATAATAATAGAATGTTTAGTTATCATGATAATTATTTTAAATAAGTAGCAAGAAGCATTGCACCATTTTTGAAATTAAGTGTTTAATTCTACAACTTTGAAGCTTATTTTTGAAGGTTTTAAATGATGAATACCTTGAACCTTATAAGGTTTAGGGCTTATGAGATTTTTGAATGAATGAAGACTTTATCTATCACCTATTATCATGAATATTTTTTAAGGAGGGCCCTGTGTGAAATTACATTCATGTGCCTTGAGGCTCTTTTATTAGTGTTTGAGGGTCTTTAATTGAGAATTTGTTCACCACTTGGCTTTATGGGGTCTTTCTTGTTAGTTAAAGCTATCGATTCATCAATGCTTCATTGCAAGTGTGACTTCAAGTATTTTTTTGCGGATTTCCCAATTAGTGCTTACACTTACAAGGATTTTCTTGGGAGAATCTGTCTTATATATCCTCCTTAGATTTCTTACAATACATGCATTTTAGCTTTTTTTTCTTTTAGTACTCCTTAGATTTCTTACAATACATGCATTTTAGCTTCTTTTTTTTTATTTTAGTCGTTAAATAAAGCTCCTCGAACAAACAATCCATGAAAAATTATGAGAATTTTTCTTAAAAAGCATCCCTACTTTAGCTTATTATATTTTATCACTTCATGAACATAATCTATTAAAATTCATATATATTTTTTTTTAATTGTTATAGGTTATTTACCCAAATTATTTCATAATTTTAAACTTAGATAGAAGAGTTTGAATTGAGACCCCTTTGAATATGATTACATTTTCATTGGGATGCTATAGCTGTTGTGTTTTTTTGGATCAAGAATAAAAAATGGTTTATATATAGATCACTGTTCCTCTTCCAAAGTTATATATGATTTTGTTTAAAGAGTATGACTCCAAATAGGAATTTTTTATGAATCAAGTTAACTTAAATGTTTGTTATGCAATGAATAATGCCTTACAAGAACATTGTGGCCAATAGGAGCACTGGAAAAAATAGAAGGAAACAAACAACCTGTAAATTAATGTGTACCTAATGAATCACCAATATCCCATGGCTAACATCTATCTATAAGAAGCCAACTCATCCATAGAAAGAAAAATACTGGAAAAGTTTGGAGAAAATTTGTCCCCACTTCTTTGGAAATCTTAGTCGGGTCATATATATAGAGCTATTGTCGAACCACATATGTAAAAAAAAGAGAGTGTGGAAGGAAGAACATCCATTTGACTTTGTCACATGAGGTGGTGGGTTTGTCTAGGTAACATAATTAGTCTACAAATCCTGGAATTACGGTTTGACCTCATCCTTGGCCTCGGGGAATGAGGAGCAACACAGATTTTCTCAAACAAAGGCTAGATCTAATATTACCATGTCCATTGAGTATAAAAGAGCAAAAGATGATATATCAATGAACATCAGAATGAGACTTAGAAAGATAGTCCTGATAATCTCAATAGTGGTATGAACAATCCTTTGTGCTATTGGATTGTTTTGCTCGTGAAAATTCCATAAATACTGAACAAACATCCGTGAAACAAAAACCAAAATAAGAATGAGGAAGAAAAAGATATTTTGATGCAAATCAATGATTTCTTGCTTGCATTATATGTGTTGTTGCATCTTGAGATCCTAATTATCATGGTTCTACCATATCACAAGGAGCAATTGTGAGAAATCACCATTTTGATAGCTTGAACAAGTTATATTTCATTTGGATTTCAATTATCTGACCGCTCTACTCCCTAAAAAACATTAATCATCACCGTCACTTTGGTTTATCTTAGATGTGTACAAAGACGATGAATTTTACATATAGCATAGATGTAAAACATAGTGTACATGTTGAGGTCTTCAATGATGCCATTTCGTCTTTAGATGATAACATGAGTATCATTATATAAGTCATAATAGGACGACTACAAATAAGAGAACGTACTCCAAAAAGAGAGGAGAAATTCTTCAAAGTTCTTTCTAATATATATAAAACACTAAAGACTATAACTATGCCTAGCTAGGGAGTAAGCTAGGTTTGTCGAGAACTCAAATGGATTGACAACTCAACCCTCTAAATATGACAATAATAATAAAGTTAGTTGTAATAAAATTGGTTGAGATTTTGACAACATTAAGATGCAAAGGCAATGTTACATGTGATTGTTGAGAAAACACTAATAAAAATATGTCCATGCTTCACTATGTAACAAATGACTCATAAAATTACTTTATGAATCAGATCAACGTAATATCAGTCATACATATACTTCATATGTATTAGATATATAACACCCAACCATTAATCTTTACCTATAAACCACACACAATTCCTATGCATGAAATATGTCTTTTTAGGCCTACGTTTATCTTTCTTTATATAAGTCAATATAAATCATTTACAGTCCTAATAGGGCGATCAGTTCGTGACATTTAATGTAACAAAACTAACTAAAGTGACTCTCTCTATTGTTGTTTGCCATTGGAGCTACACTAACCCTTTCACGGATATATTCGTTTCATAATTTGTCTCTAAGTGTAAAACCATTCATCTAAATAAGCATTAAAAGGCTCGCCACCATCTTATCAAATGTTTCTTTTAAGTATAGCGGGACTTTTGAATTACACAATAGGCTCGTTGCTTTCTTCCACTTTAAATATCCAATTTGAATTCGACCAATATCTCAAAAAAATTCATTCATAACATGATCATCATATGATTGACGTTTAATGTGGCCAAACCATCTTGGACGACCTTCTCTAATTTTTCAAAAACAGGAGGTACACCAACCAATCCACCCAAGTGTTAAGACACTTATCATCTAAGCATTGCCATCTCAACAAAATATAACTTAATTTTATCCTTCTATTTTCAAATACAGGAGCAACACCAACCCTTTTAAGATATATCTACTGCACATGAATATTAATTATCACCCTCGAACAAACCAAATTGGAAGCATTAGATATCTAACACCTAAACTTTAAATATCATATACATAGTAACACAATACATGCATTGCAAACCTAAAACCGACATATCATAATTTACATACTTTGTAATGAAAAAAATGAATTATTGCGTGAAGTTGAGACGCACCAGAGATGAAAACATTACAATATATTCGGACAAAAGAGGAGGTCGCCGGAGCATCCATTTCACTTGTGGAATGCCCTTGGGAACGACGGAGATGCTGGGAAGTCTCGGTCGCCAGCGGATGTGCCAGAGCGAACCAAAGAAAGGCAAAAAATGAGTAGTTGTCATGTGGGATAGGTATTTTAGGGCCTTTGCGTTGGATTTCCGACCGAATTGAATTGGACATTAATCGATGCAATAAAGCTTGTTGGCAGCCATTTCGTTGCAAATTTGACGGCCCTAAGGGTCTGTTTGAGGCAACTTATAAATGCGGACGACGTTTTATCGTACCGTTTGATTCACATGTTTCACCAGTTTATTCGAAGTTGTGTTTGAGTTTTTACACTAAACGCAGGCCGCAAGTCGACCCCTATGACCGGCCCACAGACCGCGTTCAGGATAAAGAACTTATCCTGAAATGCACAAGTTGTTACAAACAAACCCTAAATAACGTCCAAATTCACAACAATCTAACACAGATCTGACGGCAGTGTTTGCATCGAAAATTTTCAGATGCTACTTCTTAACTTTCCTGTAGTGTTGTATATAAAAAGTTTATCAACAAAATCGTCCCGAAAAAGGGTGCATTTACATTCATAACACTTAATTCTTATCTATTTAACTATCTAATATATCTATTTTACTATATATATATATATATATATATATGTATATATATATACTCATTTTTTCCTCAACAAAACAAATCGCCTTTGATAGCAATGTTTCGGGTGCCTTTAATTTATTCAATGATCCCACATTTATTTTTCTATTTTTTTTACATCGTGGCTTGTACATATGTAGTTGAATCCTAATCTATCCGTGAATCACATTACTTATGAGAAAGAGAAAGATAAATACACAATAATGAATAATAATCAGCCTTCTTGATAAGTTTTTTCTCATAAAATTATTCCTCTATTTATCGATAAGGGGATACAATATGAACTTTGATGGGTGCGCCTTCTTAAATGGGGGTGTTACAGGGTATTTTAGGTATTTTACATGTATGAGCCTACGACTGACTACCCTCTGACTTGGTTGACTAAACTCAGACATGCTCGTTTGACTGTGTTGGATCTAGGTTGTCAGTCAGCCTTTGATAGTCTTTGGGTCGACAGTACTAGCTTGATCGATTTAACTTTGTCGATCATTTGTTCTAGTCTAACTGTCGATCATTAATCCCTTGATGATGAGCTCCCATCAGAGAGCAAGACTAGACCATCGGGCAGAGAACGAATCACTGTAATCCGATAAATAACTCATTCCTTAATGAGGGAGTCTTTCGGGATGTTTACGTGCTATGTTGTTGTCAATTATTGACCCCTAATGAAGAAACTCAGAGAATGTTCAGGAGACTGCAGGTGATACTAAA